AGATTCCTTTTTCTCCACATCCTCGTGAATACTTTTTATCATTTGTCTTTTTCATTAATAGTCATTCTGACAGTTGTGAGGTGATATGTCATTGTGGTTTTTTTCTTCATTTGTCTGTTGATTAGTGATGCTGAACACATTTTCATATATTTGTTCATTATTTCTTCTTCTTTTAAAAAATATCTGTTCAGGGTCTTTGCCTTTTTAAAAAAAATCAGGTTGTTTATTTCCTTACTGTTGAGTTGTTTGAATTCCATGTATATATTGCATACTATAAACCCCTTATCAGATGCATACTTTGCAAATATTTTTTCTTATTCTATAGGTTTTCTCTTCACTCTTGATTGTTCTACTTGGTGTGCAGAAGCTTTTTAGTTTGATATAATCCCATTTGTCTATTTTTGCTTTTGTTGCCTGTGCTTCCAGGGTCACATCCCCAAAATGGTTGCCTGGTCCAATGTCATGGAGTTTTCCCCCTATGTTTTTTCTAGTAGTTTTACAGTTAAGGTCTTATATTTAAGTTTTAATCCATTTTCAGTTGACTTTTGTAAATGGTGTGAGATAATTTTGTTCCTCTGACTGTGGATATTCAGCTTTATCACCACTATTTATTGAGGAGACTAACCTTGCCCAGTGTGTGTTGTTGGTAACTTTGTCAAAAATAAGCTGACTATAAAATGAATGCATCAATTCAGTAAGGGACTTTCTAATTTGTTCCATTGATCTATGTCTGTTTTTATGCCAGTACTATGTTGTTTTAATTATTTTAGGGTTGCAGTATATTTTGATGTCAGGTAGTGTGATGCCACCAGCTTTATATTTTTGCTCAAGATTGGTTTAACTATTTGAGATTTTTTTCTGTGGTTTTATGCATATTTTAGAATGTTTTATAAAAGTGCAAAGATATGACACAGCAGTTTTTATAGGAATCTGTAGATTGCCTGGGTAGTATGAATGTTTAAATAATATTAATTCTTCTAATCAATGAATATGGTGTATCTTTCCATTTATTTGTGGTTTCTTCAATTTATTTTATCAGTATTTTATAGCTTGTAGTGTGCAGATCCTTCACCTTCTTGGTAAAATTATTCCCTAAGCATTTTATTTGCAGTTATTGCAAATGGAATTGTGTGCTTGACTTGTTTTTTGAGTATTTCATTGTTTGCATATAGAAGCACTGCTGTGTTGACTTTGTAGCCTCTAACTTTAATGTTCATTTATTAGTTCTAAATTGGTTTTTGTAGAGTCTTTAGGGGTTTCTATATATAAAACCTTGTCTTAATATAGAAAAGTAAAAAATATGCATATAGGAAAAATTATATATTAATAGAAAATATATCTATAAATATATATATATAAAAGCAAAAAAGCAAGACTCAAAGACTACATATTTTAATATCTAGTTAGAGTATTCTCACAAAGGAAAAATTACACAGATGAAATACAGTTTGGTGGTTTCCAAGGGAACTGAGTGGGAGGAGGAGATGACCACAAAGAATCTTAGAGTTTTGTTTAGGTGATGGGAGTATTCTATAATATCTTGTTTTTATAGTGATTACATAATGATACACATCTGATCAAATCTATAGAAAAATGGGCTAAAAAGTATAGACTTTACTTATTGCAAATTATTCAACAATTAGAAGATGAAACAACAAGTAATCCAAAAAACATGTGTGTATACTCAACATATCCAGCTAGATCCCCACAGGCAGTTTAATTGGTTCTTTTATAGAAAAGTGTGATGAGGAACTGTAGATGCCCTCATTTGGGGCATCCCCTGAGATATCAGTGTCTCTATAATTCCCTCCTGTCTCCCTTGCATTCATCTCTGAAATCCCAACAAGACTCCACATGACTTCATTTTAAGGTATGAGTGTGTGCTGGGCTTCTTTATGTTTCTGAATGCTAAGCATTGTCAGCATCCGTAGGCCTTCTCCAGACATGAGGACTTGCTGAGTCTGCAATCATGACCAAGGAAATCGCCTCAAGATTATTAGGCTGAATGACTTTAAAATGATGACCCCTTCGTGGGTTGTTTTATATACCTCTCCTTATTTTCTATTTAAAGAGGCAATTCTGTGAATTATTTGAAAGAGGTCATTTTATTATGCTTATTTTATAAGTAAGAAGGAAGGAAGTGGCTCCTCCAAGGGCATAGTAATAATTAATGATGGATTCAGGGCTTCAACCCAAGCACTTGGATCCATAATAATATTTTTGCCTCCATTTTCCCTTGCCTTAGAAGGTTTAAAACCTTTTGGCCATTGCCTGTGAGAGAGCTTCTCTAACAGCACTTGTGCATCATCCCTTGACTGCACTTCTGATTTCACACTCACTATTCGGAATTGACTCTCTCTTCTTTTCTAGCAACAAGGGAAGCTTCTATATTCCATATACACATTTAGTGAAAAGGGTAATTCATACAAAAGCAGTGGGACAGCTGCACTTATCATTTCTTTGAGCGCAGAAATTGATCCTTTCATCTTTTTCTTCTAAAACAGTAAATTGAGTTTAACCATACTGATGAAATGATGTTTTCCTAAAGACGAACAAAAACTAAGGCAATGCTCTGATTGAGTAGATTGTAACTTCATCTAGTTCACTATCAGTTAGCCTCCCACAGGCAATAAATAAACAAATGTAACAAAGGAGTAAATTGACAGATTTTTTTATATACAAAAGGAGCTAAATGAATTCTCTAGATCCAAACTATGGTTCAACCTTTCTCCCATAACCTAACCCGTATTATTACTAGAAAATCTAAATATGCTGATAGTGAGGTGGCTAAAAGCACACATTTTGATTAGGGTGAAACAATCTTGATTCTTGAAGATCCTTCTTGCTAGTTATGTGATTGCAGAATATCACATAACTTTTCAAACCTCTGATTCCCATAATGGTAATTACAATAACATATAATAAGACTACCACACACATGCATGCACAAACACACACATACACACATTTATATAAAAAGCTCTTAACATTGGTTGTGGAACATAATGTATCCTAAAAGTGGTGATGCGAGTTCAGGTTGACAAACAAAGCCTTCACAGACTATGCTTATAAACTGTGGTGTGGAAAGGCAATAAGTAATAGCAGTCAGCAGAGGATGGACACCTTTTCCAATTTAAAACACTGTTCCTACACAAGAAATAATGCACATGCCTGTAATTCCGGCTACTTGGAAGGCTGAGGTGGAAGGATCGCTGGACCCCAGCAGGTCGAGGCTGCAGTGGCCGGGAGCGGCCACTGCACTCCAGTCTGGGCGACAGAGTGAGACTCCAACTCAAAAAAACAAAAAGAAATTATTCAAATAATAATTTTACATCATAGAGTTTGCCATCAAAACAGATCTGTGGACTAAAAGTAACCCACAAACAATTCATTTTAAACACTAAATATCTATATTCAACTAAGAGATGGCAATAATGAGAGGAAAGAATGAGTTTAAGAAAAGGAGACTCTTTCAAACCAAGCCAAAATATAAATTTCAAGGAAGAAATTCAACAAAAGAATGGCTCACATGGAATGAACAGAGCAGCCAGCCATGTGGGTAGAAAAAAAGATAGAGTGAGTATTCTGGAAGGCTCACTCAGAAAATCTCAGTAGCTCTAGTGTATAAGAAAAGACAACTTGAAAAAGGAGACGAAAAAAAGTTTATCCACACACAGTGCCCTACATGTTGCCATCCCTAACTTATTAAACTAACATAGAGATCCTCATCCCATCCTAATAGTGATAGTGGCGGTTCATGCCTGTAATCCTGAAGGCTGAGGCAAGGAGCGTTGCTTGAGCCCAGGAGTTCAAGACTAGCCCAGACACATAGCAAAACCTTGTCTCTACCAAAAAATAAAAACAAATAGCCATTGTGGTGACATGTGCCTGTTGTCCCAGCTACTAGAGACGCTGAGGTAGAAGGGTTGCTTGAGCCCAGGAGGTCAATGCTGAGAAGAACTGTGATCATGCCGCTGCACTCCAGCATGGGCATATCAGTGAGAACCTGACTCAAAAAAAAAAAAAATTTATGGGTAGCTCTCATCAGACTGTGCTAAACAGCCAGTATAATAGTCAGGCTGCTAAAAAATGTATTATTTTATATGATTTTCAAAATAATATCTTGAGGTAGGTCTTACTAATATTTTCATTTTGCAAATGGAATAAATGAGGTTTAAGAAAGTAGGGTGGAACAAATGTTGCCTAGGCAGCAAATACCACCTGATATGCAGTTCTTCCCAGAAACCAAGCTCTGTACTTGATGCTGCGTCTTCCCGTCAAAATTGCCTTTGCTGGTTGTGCATGACCACTGCCCCAGTAATCCTGAGATATCTAATGTGCATTCATCACTCAATTACTTCTCTGTGGAAACTGATTTGGGCCAATGAAGACAATGAATAATTGTAAATTGCTTCAAATTCAATTTGATTTACATTCACCTGAGACCCTTAGACTTGATAGCCACCTTCCTGGGCTCAGAGGTTGACTTGACAATTAAAACTTGTGCAAATATGAATAAATTACTTCATCTTGAGTGTTTCATAATTTAAATAAATGTAATAACTAATAAATATCATAATATTGCTGACAGAAATCAATAAATATATATTGCCTAGAGCGGTTCTTGGTATGTAAACAACATGGATGTGTACATTTTTCCTAGACTAGGGAATACCGAATTGGCAGATAAATTTATCTCAGGTAAATCATCTTGGACAAGTCACTAAATATTCTACATATCAGTTTACAAATTTATAGAATTTAAAGACTGGGAGATTATTCATAAAGATCCTTGGATTCAACAAATTGTTACTCAGTAGATAATTAGCATGCCAAATATTGTTGTCAAGCTTATGCTTGCAAATCTATAGAATCTTGAAGCACAAATTTTTACTATAATTATACACAAAGTATACATTTCCAAATGTATTTTTTGTTTATCACTCTATTTCTTTATTTCTCATTGTTATAGGACATCTCATGATTCCCAAATTGTGTTGATGGAGAACTGTACAGAAGTGACACAATTCATTCTTCTAGGACTGACCAGTGCCCCAGAGCTGCAGGTTCCCCTCTTTATCTTGTTCACCCTCATATACTACCTTACTCTGATGGGAAACCTGGGGATGATGTTGTTGATTCTGCTAGACTCTTGTCTCCACACTCCCATGTATTTTTTCCTCAATAACCTGTCTCTGGTGGACTTTGGTTACTCCTCAGTTGTCACTCCCAAAGTCATGGATGGGTTCCTCAGAGAAGACAAGCACATTTCCTACAATGCTTGTGCTGCTCAGATGTTCTTTTTTGTAGCTTTTGCCACTGTAGAAAATTACCTGTTGGCCTCAATGGCCTATGACCGCTATGCAGCGGTGTGTAAGCCCCTACATTACACCACCACCATGACAACAAGTGTGTGTACTCGTCTAGCTATAGGCTCCTATATATGTGGTTTCCTAAATGCCTCCTTCCATATTGGAGACATATTTAGTCTCTCTTTCTGTAAGTCCAATCTGGTCCACCACTTTTTCTGTGATGTTCCAGCCGTCATGACTCTTTCTTGCTCTAATAAACACATTAGTGAGGTGGTTCTGGTTTTTATGTCAAGCTTTAATGTCTTTTTTGCTCTTCTGGTTATCTTGATCTCCTACCTGTTCATATTCATTACCATCTTGAAGATGCACTCAGCCCAGGGACACCAGAAGGCTTTGTCCACCTGTGCATCTCACCTCACTACAGTCTCCATCTTCTATGGGACAGTCATCTTCATGTACTTACAGCCCAGTTCCAGTCACTCCATGGACACAGATAAAATGGCATCTGTATTCTATGCTATGGTCATTCCCATGCTGAACCCTGTGGTCTACAGTCTGAGGAACAAAGAAGTCAAGAGTGCATTCAAGAAGGTGTTGAGAAGGCAAAATTCTCTGTAAAATTGGAATTTGAACATTGTAGTATACACAGTAATGTTTCACTCATCTCAGACCTTCTTCAGGCAATGAATTACATTTCAAACCCCACTGTATATTTACGTTCCTGAGGTGATATTCTTATTTCTTCAGAAGTTCATTGTGTAATAAAAAGAAAATATTCTTGGATATGCAATACTTGAATAAGGAATGATAAAGGGACTTGTTAGAAGTTTTGGAATTTGCTGGGTCCAACCTTAGTAATGACATAGGATTGACCCACTTGTTCCACCTACATTTTCCCTTCCACATTTTAACGCAAACCTACGTGTTCAACAGGGTCACAAACAAGCCCATGAACAAAAGTATGTGTATAGGCCTCTTGTCAGCACATAGACATTAAAGTAATAAATTTGCTAAAGGCCAAAGGAATATGGCTAGTTTGCAACACAAATAATTTAAATAATGAATCAGGTATTGGTATAATTTATTTTTGGATAAACTTTTTAAGAAAAACTTTATGCTCACAACAAAATTGAGAGGAAAGGACAGAGATTTCCTATATACCTTGTGCCCTCACATGTGCTTGGCCTCCCTCGTTGTCAACATGTCTCACTGGAGTGGTACATTTGTTAGAACTGATGATCCCACATTATCACTCCAAGACCACAGTCTACATTAGGATTCACTCTTGGTGTTAGATCTTCTATGGGATTTGATAAGTGTATAATGGCATGTACCCATCACTAAAGTATCATATAGAGCAATTTCATGGTCCTAAAAATCTTCTGTGCTCTGCCTATTAATTCCTTCTTCCCTAACTCCTGAAAACTACTGATCTTCTTGTCTCCGTAGTTTTGCCTTCACCAGAATGTCATATCGTTGAAATCATACAGTGTGTAACCTTTTAATGTTGGCTTCTTTCACTTAGTAATATACATTTGTTTCCTCCATGCCTTTTCATGTCTTGATAACTCATTTATTTTTAGCACTAAATAAGAGTCTATTGTCAGACTATATCATGCTTTATCCATTTACCTACTGAAGCATATTTTGGTTGCTTCCAACTTTTGGCAATTATGAATAAAGCTGCTGCAAACATCTGTGGCTTAACTCTGCTTTTCTCCAATCTTACTGGATGTTCTACTTGTTTTCATTGTTAGCTTTTGTCTTACACTCGGAATATAGATACTCTTCAGTGCTCCATCCTAAGCTGTTTTTGTTTAGGTTTTTATTGAACGTTTCACTGACATCTCAAAAATAACATATACAAGACTGATATCTTGGTTTGGTCCCTCAAATCTGTATCCTGATTGTACTTAGAGTCAATCTCCTAACTGTGGCCTGCAAGAGGTGCATGACCTCTCTGATGCTACCTCTCTTGTTGCTTTCTCCCAAACTTCTTGCTCTGGATAGTCTATTTTATTTTATTTTATTTTAAAGATGTGGGGTACAATTCAGTGTTATGTATACAAATGTTGTGTATATGTACTACATTTTTTTTATTCAGTCCAGCTTCGATGAGCAGCATGGTTGGTTCCATGTTTTTGCTATTGCAACAAACATGAATAGACACTTCTCAAAAGAAGATATATGGGCAGCCAACAGACACATGAAAAAGTGCTCAGCTTCACTAATCATTAGTCTAGCAATATTTATCTTGGTTCATTTCTTGAGCACAAAAAGCACATTCACAGTGCAGAATGTTGTGCATTTTGGTCTCTTTACCTGCTATGCTTTTTCTTTATGTATCATCTTAAAAATTACATCCTCAGAGAACCCAATTTAACTATGCATCTAAAATTTTCATCTCCCGTGCCCACTATTCTCTATTTCAGCACCATATTTTTTTTCTTTTAAAAGTGGTAAGAATATTTATTATGAAATATTCCCATAGTAAGAGAGATTCACTCATGAGATCTACCTTCCCTTAACAATTTTAAGTGTACGATACAATATTGTTAATTATAGGTACTATTTGTACAGGAGATCTTCAGAACTTATTTTTGTATAATTGAAACTTTACTCCCATTTAACAGCAGCTCCTCACCTTACTGCCCCCAGTCCCACTACAGTCTCTGAAAATCACCATTTTTAAACTCTCTTTCTATGCATTTGACTACTTCAGATACCACTTGTAAGTAGAATCATGCAATATCTGTCCTTCTGTGACTGACTTATTTCGCTTAGTCTAATGTCCTCCATGATCATCCATTTTCACATACTACAAGAGTTTTTTAATTGAAATGTAATAATTGTATATATGTATGTGATACAATATAATATTTTGGTAAATTTTTACATTGTGTAGTGATGATAATTAGCATATCTATCATGTATCATATTTGTCATATCAATATTGATCATTTCTTTGTGGTGAGAACATTAAAAATCTCCTTTTCTAGATGTTTAAAACATGCAATACATTATTGTTAGCAATAGTCACCCTACTGTGCAATAGAGTACCAGAAGTTATTTCTCCTATCCGACTGGAAGATTGTGCCTGCTGAACAACCTCTCATTATCTCTTCCTCCCCCCATTTTCCAGTCTCTGGTAACAACTATTCCACTCTCAACTTCTATAAGATCTATATAGATTCTATATAGATTCTACATACAAGTGAGATGATATGCTACTTTTCTTTCTGTGTGTAACTTATTTTACTGAACATAAAGTGCTCCAAACTCACCCATGTTGTTGCAAATGACAGTATTTCATTCTTTCAAATGACTGAATAGTATTCCATTGTGTGTATATGTTCCATTTTCTTTATTCATTAATCTGTTGATGGGTATTTAGCTTGATTCTATATTTTGACTATTGTTAAGAGTGCTGCAGTAAACATGATATTTCATGTTTCATGTGACATGATATTTTATGTTTCTTCAATACACTGAGTGTATTTCTTCTGTAAATATGCCCAGTAGATGGAGTGCTGGGTCATATAGTTCTATTTTTTGAGGAACCTCCATGCTGTTTTTCATAATGACTCTACTAGTTTATGTTCCCACCAACGGTGTACAAGCATTTCCATTTTTTATACCCTTGCTGTTTGTTATATGTTGTCTTTTGATAATAACCATTTTAACTGGGGTAAGGTAATATATCATGATTTTGATTTCCCTGGTGGTTAGTGAGGCTGAGCACTTTTTATATACCTACTGGCCATTTGTAAGTATGTTTTCTTTGGAAAAATATCTGTTCTATGTGTTTTGCTAATGAGTTAGTTCCTTATAAATTCTGGATATCAGCCCCTTGTCGAATATATAATTTTAAAATATCTTCTCTTGTTCTGTGTCTCTTCCCTCTATGGCATATTTCGTTTGTTGTGAAAAGCTTTTTAGTTTGATGCAGTCCCATTTGTTCATTTTTGCTTTTTTTCCGTCTCTTACTTTTGAGGTCTTTTCTAAAAAGTTCCTTGTCCAGATCAATGTCATGTAGCATACCCCTTATGTTTTCTTCTAGTAGTTTCATACTTTAGGGTGTTCCATTTGACTCTTTTATCCATTTAGCATTGATTTTTTTGTAGACGGTGAGAGATAGGAGTCAAGTTTCATTCTTTGAGTGTGGATATCTAGTTTTCCTAGCACCATTCATTAAAGAGATTGTCCTTTTTTCCAGTACTTGCTCTTAAATACTTTGTCAAAAATCAATTGATGGTAAATTCCTGGATTTATTTCTGAGCTTTCTATCTTGTTCTATTGTTCTATGTCCATTTTTATGTCAATATCTGCTGCTTTGGTTACCATAGATCTATAGCATACTTTAAAGTCAGATAGTGTGAAGCCTCCAGCTTTGTTCTTTTTGCTTCAGCTTGCTTTGGCTATTTGTGATACCATAAGAATTCTAGGATTTTTTTTTCTAATTCTGTTAAAATTGACTTCAGTATTTTGAGAGGGATTGCTTTGAATCTGTAGATTGCTTTGGGCAGTATGGTTATTTTAATACATTATATTAATTATTCTAATCCATGAGCATGGGATATTTTTAATTTGTGTCACCTACAATTTCTTTAATCAATGTTTTATAGTCTTCTTTGTATAGGCCTTTTCACCTCCTTGATTAAATTTATTCCTAGGTATTTTATTAATTTTTTGTAGTGATTGTAAATGAGATTTCTTTCTTGATTTCAGATAGTTTGCTATTTTGTATGGAAACATCACTCATTTTTGTTTCCTGATTTTGTATTATGCATTTTTACTAATATTTTTTATTGGTTCTAACAGGGCTAGGGTTTCCTATATACAACACAATGCCATGCCTTGCTCTTTCTCTTTCCCTAAGTGACCCAAGGTGACCCACCATTATGGTCCACTACAGCTTGACCTAGAGTACCTCACGAAGTTGTGCAAGTCCAGAGGCTCCAATTTTCGTGTTCTCTTCAAGAACACCTGGGAAACTGCCCAGGCCACCAAGGATATGCATATATGAAAAGCCACCAAGTATCTGAAAGATGTCACTTTACAGAAACAGTGTGTGTCATTCCTATGCTACAAAGATGGGGATGGGAGGTGTATCCAAGCCAAACAGTAAGACTGGACACAGGGTCTGTCGCCCCCAAAAGAGTACTGAATTTTTACTGCCCATGCTTAAAAATGTAGAGAGTTATGCTGAACTTAGGGGCTTAGATGTAGATTCACTTGTCATTGAGCACATCCAGGTGACCAAAGTCCCCAAAGTGTGCTGCTGGATATACAGGGCTCAAGGTCGGATCAATCCATACAAAATCTCCCCCTGTCACATCGAGAAGATCTTCACTGAAAAGAAACAAATTGTTCCTAAGCCAGAGGAAAAAGATCCCAGAAGAAACTGAAGAAACAAAACCTTATGGCGTGAGAATAAATTCAGCATAAAATAAATGCAGATAAAAGTGAAAGAAAAAAAAAGAAAGTGTCATGTGCAAAGAGATAATTTGAGTACCTTCTTTCCAATTTGGTTGTTTTTTATTCTTTTTCTTGTCTAATTGCTCTGACTAAAACTTCCAATGCTACACTGAATAGAAGTTATAAAAGTGGGCATCCTTGTCTTGTTCCAGATTTAGAAGAAAACTTTCACCCTTTCCTCATACAATACAATGTTGGCTGTGGGTTTATTATAAATTGCCCTTACTATGTGAAGGTATATTCCTTCTATATATAATTTGTTGAGCTTTCAATTATAAAGGAATGTTGTATTTTGTCTAATATTTTTTGCATCTGTTGAAATGGTCATATGTTATCATTTATTGTGTTAATATGATGTGTTACATTTATTGATTTGCACATGTTAAACCATCTTTGCACCTCTGGTATCATGGTGGGTGATCTTTTTAATGTGTTGTTGAATTGTCATTGCAAGCATTTTGTTGAGAATTGTTGCATTTGTGTTTATGAGGGATATTGGCCTGGAGCTTTTTTTTTTTTTTTGGCTGTGACCCTGTCTGGTTTTGGTATCAAGGCAATGTTTGTCTCATAGAATGAGTTTGTAAGACTTCCCTTCTTTTCAGTTATTTGGGATAATCTGTGAAGAATTGGCATTAGGCTTTTTGTTTTGTTTTTTTCCTAGTTTGTTTTGTTTTGCAGAATTCAGCACTAAAGCCATCAGGTCCTGAGTTTTCTCTAATTGGAGACTTTTTATTACTATTTTTTTTTTTTAGTCGAGGTCGCACTCTGTCACCCAAGCTGGAATGTAGTGGCATGATCAAGGCTCACCACACCCTCAACTTCCTGGGTTCAAGTAACTCTCCTACCTCAACCTCTCAAGTAGCTGGGACAGCAGGCACACCCTACCACAACTGGATAATTTTTGGAGTTTTTGTAGAGACGAGGTCTCACTATGTTGCCTAGGGTGGTCTCAAACGCCTTAACTCAAGCAATCCTCCAGTCTTGACCTCCCAAAGTGCTGGGATTACAAGTGTGAGTCACCATACTCAACCTTTTTATTTCTAATTTAATTTTATTACTCATTATTGGTCTGTTAAATTTTTCTTTTCTTTTTAAAAATTCAATCTTGATAGGTTTTATATGTCCAGAAATTTATCCACTTCTTCTAGATTTTCCAATTTGGTGAGATATAATTGTTTATATCTGTTTCTTACTACCCTTTGTATTTCTGTGGTATCAGTTGTAATGTCCACTTTTTCATCTCAGATTTTGTTTATTTGCCAATTACTCTGATTTGATAATCTCATGTTGTATACATATATTGAAATATCATTTTGTACCCTAATAACATACATAATTATGACTTTTCAATTAAAAATAAAATAAGAAACTATCTTGAGAAAAGAACATAATATACCAAAACCAATGGGATGCAGCAAAAATAGTACTAAAAGGGAGATTTATTAAAATAAATGCCTACATTAAAAGAGTAAAACTCTCAAATAAACAACCTAAATTTACATCTCAGAGATCGAGAAGAAATATTAAGAGAAAATTTAGAAGGAAGAAAATGATAAATATGAGAGCAGAAATAAACAAGCTAAAAATAGAAAGGCAATAGAAAAATCAGTGAAAGTAAGAGTTAGTTTAAATTAACGTTTAGCTAGATTTATTAAGAAAGAAGAGGTGACTCAAATAAAACAAAAAAAAGAAAGATGTGAAATTACAATGGATGTCATGAAAGTAAAAAGAATTGTGATTAGCAAAACAGTTTTTCTCTAAAAAAACAAAAGGATAACCAAGAAAAAATGAAGAAATTCCTAGAATCATAAAACTAAATCATAACTAAAGACTAAATCGTGAAGAAATTGAAAATCTGAACAAGCTAATGACAAGTGAGGATATTAAATTGGTAACTAATAACCTCCCAACAATTAAATCCAAAGACCAAATGGCCTTACTGGTGAAATTTACCAAACATTAAAAAAAGAGAAAAGTTCAATTATTCTCCATCTCTTCCAAATAATAGAAGAGAAGGGAACATTTTAAAACTAATTGTATGTGGCCAGCATTATTCTCATACCAAGGCAGAAAAAGTCACACAAGAAATAGAAACTACAGGGTAATAATTTTTATGAATACATATTAAAAATCTGCAACAAAATACTAGTAAACCCAATGCAACAGCACAATAAAATAATCATATACTATGACCAAATTGGATTTGTTTATAGGTTGCAAGGATGGCTTAAATCAATTAATGTGATAAACCAAATCAACAGAATTAATGATAAAAAAAAAAAGATCATCTCAATAGATGCAGAAAAAGTATCTGATGAAATTTGCTACCTTTTCATAATAAAAACACTCAACAGGACAGGTACTTCTTTTTTTTTTTTGAGTTGGAGTCTCGGTCGCCCAGACTGGAGTGCAGTTGCCGCTCCCGGGCACCACAGCCTCGACCTGCTGGGCTCCGGCGATCCTTCCGCCTCAGCCTTCCGAGTAGCCGGAATTACAGGCATGCGCTACCTCCCCCGGCTGATTTTTTGATTTATTGTAGAGATGAGGTCTCGCTGCCCAGGCGGGTCTTGAACCCGCGGGCTCAGGCAATCCACTCACCTCAATCTCCCAAAGGCATGGGATTACAGGATGAGCCACCGAGCCCGGCTTCTATATAATACAACCTATATATTAATAAAAGCCAACAGTTAGTATCATATTCAAAAGTGGAAAATGGAAAACATCTCTTTTATGACAAGAAACAAGAAAAGGATGCTTACTCACATCACTCCTATTGAAGATAGTACTGGAAATCCTAGACAGACCAACTGGGCAAGATAAATAAATAAAAGACATAAAACAATATTTAAAAAGTAAATTTATTTCTGTTCACAGACGATATAGTCTTGTGTATAGAAAACACTGACAGTTCCACAAAACAGCTGTTAAAACTAA